CCACTCATCTCAGCCTCCCAAAGGCGCGGGATTACAGGCTGAGCCACCGAGCCCGGCTCCCTTTTTCTCTATCTTATTTTCAGAAATACTCAAATAAAAAACCACCTCTTTCTCACCCTTCGCCTTCCTCTTCTCTCTTTTTCATTTCTCCTCTCATTCTTCCTCCATGATTCCCTATCTCCCCTCCCCTCCTCTGCTGCCCCTTTTCTTTCTCTTTTCTCATCTTTTTTTTCTCTCTCCCATTTCTGTCTTTTCTTCTCCCTCTCCTTCATATCCTCTTTCACTTTTGGGTGTTGGACTGTTCTACAGTGAAAATTCTGGTACCTAAATGGAAAAATAAGGAACCACGGCTCTCTCTCTTGTTTTCTTTGAGTTGGAGTCTCTCTGTGTCGCCCAGGCTAGAGTGCAGTGGCATGCTCCTGGCCACTGCAGCCTCAACCTGCTCAGCTCAGGTGATCCTTCGGCCTCAGCTTTCCAAGTAGTTGGAACTGCAGGTACATGTCACCACACCCGGCTAATTTTTTTATTTATTGTAGAGATTAGATCTTGTCGAGTTGCTCAGGTTGGGCTCGAACCTGTGGGCTCAGGCAATTCTCTCACCTCAGCCTTCCAAAGTGCTGGAATTATAGGCAATTATAGGAATTATAGGCATATAGCCGTGCCTGGCCAACCCACAGTTCTCTTACCAAGGTTGCCTTCAGTTTGCCTGTGCAAAACGTAACTTATGCACTTCTACCATCTGAGAGATCGTTCTATATACTGTTGTATTTCTTTCCTATTGCCCTTGTCACAAATTACCACGATTTTAGTGTCTTAAACTGTAAAATTATCATCTTACAGTTCCAGAGGGTCAAAATGAGTTACCGGGCTAATTTAATCACTGGGTTAAATCTGGAATAATAATCTAGTCATAAGGCTAAAATCAAGCTACTGCAGGGCTCCATTCCTTTCTAGAGGCTCTAGGGATGAACCCATTTCCTTGCCTTTTCTAGCTTCTGGAAGCTGACCTTGCTCCTGTGCTGGGGTCTCCATCCATCCTCAAGCCAGCAATTCATGCCACATCCCTCTGATTCCATCTGGCTCTCTGTTTTACTTATAAGAACTCTGCTGATGACACTGGGTCCACCCAGTCACCTCAGGTAAGAACAGCTGATGAGTAACCCTAACTTCGTCTCCAAAACTTTAACGCTCCTTTGCTGGGGAACATAACATAGTCCTAGGTTCTGAGCATGAGGACGTGAACATCTTGGGGCCATTGTTCTGCTTACCAAATCTGTTTAACAACAGTAGGAAGTAATAAAGTGGGTAAAATCAGTTTTTTTGTTTGTTTGTTTTTGAGTTGAAGTCTCACTCTGTCACCCAGGCTGGAGTGCAGTGTCACACTCACAGCCACCCTAGCGTCGACCAGCTGGGCTCTGGTGATCCTTCCACCTCAACCTTCCGAGTGGCTGGATTACAGGAGCGTGCTACTGTGCCCGGCCAATTTTTGATTTTATTGTGGAGACAAGGTCTCTCCAAGTTGCCTGGGCTGGTCTCGAACCTGCGGCCTCAGGCAATTCATTTGCCTTGGCCTCCCAAAGAGCTGGGATTACAGGCTGAATCACCAAGCCTGGCCAAGGGTTTTAATGTCAGGTGATTATCACTAACATACGGTGTGATTTTAATGGGAAGATGCTTGGAGCTCTTAAATCTGTTAATCGTTTTTTGTTTTTATTTTGCTTCTGTTTGCTCCCTTTTCTCCATAATTTGAGAGAACTAGCACAACATGAGATTATAAATATTTGAATTCCCAAATGAAAAAAATGTTAATAGCCGGGCTGGGTGGCTCAGCCTGTAATCTCGTGCTTTGGGAACTGAGGTGAATGGATTGCCTGAGTCCGTGGGTTCGAGACCCACCTGGGCAACTTGGCGGGACCTCGTCTCTAAAATAAATAAAAAAATCAGCTGGACGTGGTAGTGCGCGCCTGTAGTTCCAGCTACTTGGAAGGCTGAGGCGGAAGGCTCACCGGAGCCCAGCAGGTCGAGGCTGCGGTGGCCGGGAGCAGCCACTGTACTCCAGTCTGGGCGACAGACTGAGACTCCAACTCAAAAAAAACAAACAAAAAAAAAGAAAAAAGTTAATATCAAGAAAATGTCAAATTCCATCCCAACTGTAGAGGTGAGCTGTAGCTAGAAACTGAGCTACCAAGACTTTAACTTGTGTCAGTTAGGGGGGTAAAAATATCCCAACCTGCACAGCCTGTCCCCCAAGGGACCGGTCCAACTGAACGGTCAGGAACGCAGATGTCGTCAGCTCATCTCGTGTTGCATTTGCTCCTTGCCTAGAGGAAATCAAAGTAAAATAAGTTAGCTTGTCTTTAAATTTTAAGATCTTCTCATATAGGCACAGTAATCAGAGACTTAAGTGATTATGAAAGATCAAGAAGACAATGTTTTAACATAATATGAGCTGTCAAAACTACTATTTTTTTTTCCCAAAGAACTAACACTGAGCCCAGAATTGTCCTGTGTATTGTCTAGAACTACATGTAGTAGGCTTTTTTTTTCTTTTTTTTTTGAGTTGGAGTCTCACTCTGTCGCCCAGACTTGAGTGCAGTGGCCGCTCCCGGCCACCGCAGCCTCAACCTGCTGGGCTCTGGCAATCCTTCCGCCCCAGTCTTCCAAGTGACCGGAACTACAGGTGTGCACTACCATGCCCGGCTAATTATTTATTGTAGAGATGAGGTCTCCCCAAGTTGCCCGGGCGGGTCTTGAACCCGCGGGCTCGGTCAATCCACTCACCTCGGCCTCCCAAAGTGCTGGGATTACTGGCTGAGC